ACTGTCTTGTATGGAATTGCAACATATATTTATAACTTTACGTGATCAGTCCAATCAGATCAGGCTAGAACCATTGGGTTATATGGAATTCCAACATGTATTTAAAACATTATGTGATCAGATCATTCCCTATGTTCCTTTAATTTGGAACCTAAATTTATTTTAGTTTTGTTTTTGTATTGTGTATGTTATAATTATGATTTATGTAACTCTTTGCATTATTTTACTGTTTGTATTCACTGGAAGCCGCCTAGAGTGGCCTTTTAGGCCAGATGGGTGGGGTATAAATCTTATAAATAAATAAAAATAAATAAATACATTTTGAATTATGCTGACACCAGCATTCAGCAAGGTAATGGCCTGAAGCTACAGAGAATACTAACAGCAGTAACTCAGGCCAGCTTTAATCAGGAAAAGCACCACAGGACTCCTAACACAGTGGCCACAAACAATGGAGCAATCATAGAGTCCTGGCCTGCACAGTTGATGCTCCCTTTACTGTTTAATTATAAATTACTGTATTATGGTCACCATTTCCCCCTCAATCTTGGCTATATGGTTTTTCCACCTCACTTTATTCCAGTTCTTATTAGCTATCAGAATCAGAAAAAGAGGTGAGGGCAGGATAAGAATCTGAATGGCCACTGTTACCAGAAACCATTTAGAATTGTTGTTTCTCTTCTCTTAAGTTCTCCTTGATAGAAGAGTTCTAACAGGAGAATATCAGCAGAGAAAAGAGTTTTCATTGGATAATGTCAGGAGGGCAAGTGGGTTCCAAGAAAAGAAGGAGTGGAGATTGCAAGAGAGTAGTTGTATCTGTGCCTCAGTAGTGGAAGTAGAGGCAGGTAAAGGAGATCCCAGCCAGAGGCAGGGAAGGAATTGAAACGGAAGGCCAAGGCCTCTATGTGTGTGGGTGGTATGTTTTATTTAGAAGGTGATTTGGATACATGACTTGCCTTATGTGAAACTGATGTTATATTGGATTAGAAAACAATGTTTATATTCAAAGGGCTGTGTGTGTATTCAAAGGAGTAACTTTATATTTTGTGAGTCACATATCTCATCTCTGGTCTGTATCTCTTGGGTAAATTACTTGTTTTTTAACCCTCAAAATATCTCTTGATAATCTTACATCTGAGTTTGCTGGCAGGAAAAATACAAAAAGCTAACTCTAAAATATTCTGAATGTAGTTTGCCATTATATATGAATATACTGTATTTCTTAGCATTATTGATGTTTAATTTACCATATAAAATGAAGGAAGACCCAACAGATGCAGAAGGATTAAAGGAGTAGTATGTACTGAATCCATTAGTGAATCTGATGGGTGGGGGCAAGGTCTTACAGTCAGAAACACTTATCTTTGTGTTTGTGTTTTCTGTATCAAATGAATATTCACTTCTTCAAAAAAAAACACAACACCCTGGTTTATGAATGTGGGATATTGTGTTTCTGTACCCATGATTCAAAATGCCAGGAAATGTCCTAATATTGCTGCACAATATTATGCCTGTGTTGCTAACAGGAAAAAGGATGTCAAGCTTTACATAGGAAAGGGCAGCCTGAATGTTGACACTAATGGCAGTCAAAATGGTCTTCTACTCACTATCATTCACAAAGTAACACCAAGTCAAGAAAAATCCCAGAAAAGGATTCCCTTTTTCATTAGTTAACACAAAGCAAATGTCAAGGCTGTTTTTCAACAAGTATGAATGGTGACTAAATGTAGGAGGCAGTAGGCTCAACTGAAGGACACATTCTAACTGAATCAGAGCACTTTCATAATTCATTGGTTTTAATAGGAGAGTATTATATATGAAATTAATGTTCTTATTAAAATGAAAAAGTAATTTCAGCTCTCAGGTCAGTAATTCTTCACTTGTATACAGAATATTTTCATTCAGTTTGCTCGTAACAGAATTAACTCAGAACATATGAATCACAGTTACCTAACTGCCTATTTGGGGATATGTAGTTGCAAAGAAGAGATACCCAGTGTGGTGTAGAACAGAGGTCCCCAACCCCTGGTCTGTGGCCCTGAGCCAGACCGGGCTAACCCAGTGTGGTGTAGAACAGAGGTCCCCAACCCCTGGTCTGTGGCCGTGAGCCAGACCAGGCTACGGAGAGAGACTTCAACCCCCTGCATGCACTCCCCCTTGCACAAACCATTTGCACCTGTGCATGCCTGCACGAGCACTGCGCCGCCCTTTGCGCATGTGCACAAGCGCAGGGGGTCCCCCGCCTCCCCCAGCCAGTCTACGGAGCTAAAAAGGTTGGGAACCACTGGTGTAGAGGATGGCATGTTGGACTAGGACTCAGGAAAACTGGGTTCAAATCCCTGCTCTCACCCATGGAAACTCACTAGGGGAGTGGAACTGGTAAAACCATTTTTAAATATCTCACTTACCTTGAAAGCCCCATTAGGTTTGCTATACGTCGGTTCTGATTTGACAGTACATAATAAAGTTAAAAAGAGCAATCCTTTAAAGGACATCCATCATTGCATCTCTCATTCTTTAGAGAAATACATGTGATTTGTTTGTAGTTTGAGATCAACAAGTTTAGAAATTACATTTATATGGATGTCTATTTTGTAAAAAATTTCAGTAAACTCAGAGACCATTGATAGTAAGAGTATGTGTATATAGTACTTCCACAGTGTATTCCACCAATATTACCTCAAAAGTCTTTACAATGTCAAGGATCCAATGTTACCTTGGCAGAGGTAAGCTAGCACAACAGGACCTCGATGTTCTACATTCTTGTCAGGATGAGCATGTGTAATATTCCAGTTAGTCCTTGGGTCCATTTTCTTCAGTACTAATGACGCCTACTGGCTGCAAGCTTTTCAGCTGTTTGCAGTCTATATCCTATTATAATAGTACAAAAACACCTGGTTCTTTGAGTCAGCAAAACCTGTTTTATCTGTATCTTGACTCTTTATCCCAGGATGCATCGCTAGGTCTAACCTACGCCAACAGAGTACCAGTAATTCTTTGGGAGTATCACTAGACCACATTTTTACACCATACCCAGAAGTAGTGAGCCCTTAAGAGGAAAAGACTGTTCTAACAGGAGCTTGCCTCAATCCCCATTTGGTAAATTAGCCTTATATTGCGATTGGTCAGTTGGAAGTAACATGGCTTTGTTTGCAGATCTGATGTGTCAGGCAAGTGACACTGAAAGACTTGTGAACCTGTAAGGACAGCTTTGTAAGCAGATCACAGTTTTCACTCCCACCATTTTTAGGAAAGCTGTGAACACACACCTTTTAAAACTGGTTTATGATATCATTTAATTTATTGTGATGATTTTATAGTTATGTGTCATTTTATTTTAAGATATTTGATTCCACTTTTTTGGCTAAAAACTTGTTACTTAAATACATCAGTTTAAATCAAGTGGAATAAATTTCACCAGGTGAATTGCTGCTCCTGAAGGAGTTGATACTTTTATTCCTCTTCTTGTGCAGGCTATGTGACTTGGCATGCAAAGAAGAGAAATACTATAACAAACTCTTTAATCAGGGACAATTCACCACCGGGATTTACACTACTTGATACCCGGCTCTGCCCATTTATATTATTTTTATGATAATTGTCAGCCACTTTGAGCACTTCCTAGTAGTGGAAAGTCAGGACAGAAATGTAATAATTGATAATAACAGTAACAGTTGAAGGAGACATGCAATACATAATTTGCTTTAATGGGTAATTGCATCCTACGTCTGTAATCTCCATCACGGGGCTAAACTTAAACTGCAGATCTGCTGGCCATAACCTCTGACCTACTTTTCTGTTTATTCCTATTTGGGGGGGGGCGATACCACCATGCTGTTGAAGACTTCTGGGAAACTGGGGAGCTCGTATACATACCTTTGTGGCAGTTTGAACTTTATATGCGTATTTAATCCTTTCTTGTACCCAGCCTTGAATTGTGTTTGTCTTATGACCAGCGCACTGAGAGCTTTGTCTCTGTGCTCTGCGCACCTGCCAGAAAGGTGAAGGAGAATTGGGTGTTCGTGAGGAACTTGTTACGCCTAACTCAGGAAGGGCGATTCAGATGAGCGACAGGGAACAGACCCAATTTTTTTTTTGTGAAGCCCTGCAAGAGACGGGCTGGTGCTGTCGGGCCAAAAGGAATTGCCGAGATCGCGGGATAGTGGCGGCGGCGGTGGTGGCGAGAAGTGCGGGGCACCGCGCTCGCTCGCTCGCTCCGAAGGCGAGGCAAATCGGGGCGCCCAGAAGCTCCCGCGTGGCCGCAAGTGAGCGCCGGCAACTCCCGAGAAGCGACGGAGTTCAGTGGCCGCCGCTGGCCCTCCAGCGCACCGGCCATGCCAAGGCCTGAACGTATTTCGTGCGCCCTCGAACAAGCCTTTCAGGAGCGCGTCGCCTGGCTTGTGTACCCACACGCCCCCCCCTCCCGTGGGGGATGTGAAAGGAGCGAGCGAGCCCGCGCCTGGCACCACCGCTCGCGGCCACGCCAGGAGCGCCGGAGCGCGCCCTCGCCTTGCCTCCCCTCGGTTCACCCCGCGCGGGTTGCCGCCACCCTTGCTGGGCAAGGGGCGCCTCTCCTCAGGTCTCCCCTCGGACCCGCGCTCCTCCTCCTCCTCCGTCGCCTTCCCTTCCTTGCTGGCTTTGTGTTGGAAGGCTGACCGCCTCGCAAGCTTTCCAAAACGCGCCGGCAGAGGAGGAGGAGGAGGGAAAGGACGAGGCTCCTTCTCTGAGACAACCCGGGATGGTTGAGCAGCTTTTCCCCGAAGGCTGAGGCAGGGAACCCTGACGAGTCCCGAATTCTCTTCCCGCCTGGGGGGTGTCCCGTCCAAACCCTTATCTCTCCTGTCCACCCCCAACACCACCACCACCCTAGTTCCCCAGTTTGCGGCGCCTTCCTGTTACTTCGCCTTTCCTGTCACAAGAAGGAAAGTTTGAAAGCCAACCCAGCCTGGGAACTTTCCGTTCAAGGGGGGGCCAACGGTCGCCGGGCGTTCAAGGTGCCTTTCGGGCTGTGTGTGTGTGTGTGTATGTGGTGCACGGGCTCTGCAAGGAAACGGCCTGTGGCTTCCTCCCCTTGCTCGTCACCCAGCTCCTTTTCTCCTCCCCGAGCAATTTGCTGAAGGAGGACTCTCCGGGCGGGGTGGTGGCGGAGAGGTGTGAGGAAACGAACGTGAAGTGGCAAATGGACTGAGAACCCCCCCCCTTTTTCCCCCCTCCTCCTGAAAGCCATTGCAAAAGGAAGCTGAGCAGGAGGCGGGGAGAGTGAGGAGCGGCGGCAGCGGCAATGGCAACGGCAGCCGCCGCCGCTGTAGCCGCCCAGCCCCTGTAGAGCCGAGGCGTTTGCAGAAGGAGGGGCGGGAAAGCGGCCGGGCTGCCGGTGGTGGCTGAAGCCCGCCGCCTTTGGCAACGGCGGAGCCTTGATTCCCGGCACCGGAGGAGGGTGCTGGATGCGAGGCGGGGTGCTCCTGGGCGACGTGCAAGGAGGGCTCTCTCGGATTGCCTTCGACTTGCAATGCCGGCTTCTCTTTGGCATGTAAAACCGTGCACAGGATGAAATCAGGTTGGTTACGACATTGCATTCTCTTCTGTACGGGATGTGCAGGGGTGTATGTGTGTGTGTGTGTTTTTAAAAGCCCTCCTGTTTCTCCAGATGTCAAAGGATCATAGCAACAAGGCAGTGTCAGTCACCTCATTACAGTGTCTCTTGTGTCCTCCTTTTCTTTCTCTCTTTTTCCCTCTCTTCTTTCTTTCAATTAAGAGATGATGAATCTTTTATGCAGCTGGGTTCCTTGTGCCTGTATAGAAGCTTCACAATTTGCACTTGATTGCAGCTTTAAAAAGATGGTTTTAAGAAATAAGATCCGGTTTCCTAACTGCTGGGAAATAAACACAGATGGGAAATTAGAAGGGAGAAGGGATGCGAGCTGTAATGAAGCAGTGTGGTTAGGATTTTTTTAAACCTTCTTTCCACCCTGAGTATTTTCTCCAGGCAAGAAAAATGTGAGCTTTCGGTTGGCAAAACAGAGCAGTTGCATGGAGCAGATGAAATTTAGTCTTGGTTTGTGTATCGTTGGAAAGTAAAGGTGTTCTTGGCTAGTGGACCTTACAGACTAACTCTCTGCCACATATTTATATTAGTGATTTTTCACTTACATTTTTCCAGGTGTTTGGCTTTAAAAAAATTTGTTTTGTGTGCACACTTTCTAGGTCAGTCTTCTAGGATGCCAGAGGAAAGTTCCCCTCGGAAGACTCCCCAAAATGTTTCGTATCATGATCTTCCCCATTTGGTCAATGCTGATGGACAGTACCTCTTCTGCAGATATTGGAGGCCAGCCACCACCCCAAGGTGAGCATTTGTTGGGATTCACCTTACTTATTTGTTCAGCTGCCCTGCAATTTGTACTGTGGTACATGGAGTTTCACACAGAGTGTGCTGAACAGATCCTTGCCCTGCACAACTTCCTTTGCAAAAGCAGTAACATCTTGATCCATTAGCATGTGTGGTGAAGCAATGCTGGATGCTGAAATATTGCCCCATGTACCTATCAGTAAGGCCATCCTGTGTACCCACGTGCTGCAGCAATAAGTGAAGAGTTGGCTATTAATCATTCAGCCTCCTACTCGTTAAAATAGTTCCTATTACTTGCATGAGTAAAAGTGACTTGCATGAGTAAGATGTAGGAGATTTAGGCATTTCTTTCCCTCCCTGTGCTTTCTGTCTAGTGGAACTCAGTGCTGTGAACAGAATCCAAGGATCCTGCTTATTAACTTTTCAATAAATATTTTCACTGCACAGTGTTGCCTGCAAAAGCTATATAGAGGCTTAGGTGGCCCAGCCCTTATTATTGTTTAAACTAGGAAATCCAAACTACAGTATAGAGATCTGTCTTAAAGGATATAAATCACAGTTCAATGGCTGGGGTTTCATGCATAGTGTATCATTTAATTCTTTCTGCATTGGTTTCTGTACTTAGAAGATCCTTCTTCTTTAGCTTGGCTGTAGGGTTTGGATGGAACTCCAAGCTCTAAAGGTACATTAAAATAATAATTGTTACCAAGTAATCAGCCATTTATGTAACCCCCTTCCCACAATCCTTACAAAATAAGGGCTTCATATTTGGATCTTGTCCTTCAGGAGCACAGATACTGTATTGTGCATAGAACATCTCATAGCATTTCCTTGTTATTTGTTATTGCTCTCCCTTCTGTCTGTGTATGCTGGTATATGTACAGGATATTTCTGACTATGGAGGATAATAAAATATAGGAAAGAGTGAAACTGCTGTTTATCTTTTATGGAAGCCAAATGAGTAAGCTTTGTTTATTTTCATATTGTGAGGTAAGAAATCAATTTTAGAGAGCACTTACCCAAGAAATAGCTTTCTTGCTTTTATAGCAGTCCAGCTATGGTAGCTAAGAAGCCTGGTGTAATGTGCCAAATAACTGGTGCCAAGCCAAACACAGAAACAGAAAACTTCCATACGGAGTCAGATCAGGAGTCCACCTAAGCAAATAATTTTCTTAGCCATCAGTAATCATAGAAAATAAAAGAGGATAGCAGCTGGGTGGGTGGAAATCATTAGAGGCATTGCAGTAGTATGAATGGGGGGCATGTGTATCCCCCCATTCCACATTTTCCACTTTTCTTTAAGTACTTCAGTGGAAGTTATGGCTAACTGCAAGTTTGGCACATTCTCTGGTCCTTTAGCCAGGATAGCACCAGATGTCTTGTCAGCCCTGGCAGCTCTGTGGCCTCCTGGGCAAATATGAAACCCATTCATTTATGAGAAGAAATGCATAACTAGATTTCATGTTGCTGCTCACATTACTTACCTGAGTTGGTCAGTGAAGGGATGCTTTAGGGTTGAATATTGAACGAGGCGTGTTTTGGATGTTTAGAACTTGCTGCCCATAATTAACTCCTGGGTAATTGAGCCCTTCTTACTTGTGAGCACACTTGCATGTCAGATTTTTGTATTAAGATGCTTCTTACTATTACTTCTGCTAAGATGGGCAGAGAAGGATGGGGTTTTTTTATGTTTTTGGAAGTTCTCGGAACTTCGGGCTCATCATGTTTACTCCTTAGAATTCCAATCCTCCTTACATGTCAGTCGGTTTCTCTCTGGATTTAGGGTGGGGTGAGGATTTCTGTCTGGACGGAGTGGATTCCCGCCACCATACTCATATTACTTTTCCCTTGTGAGCTAAAAATTGCTTGATTCAATTTGCTTCTCTGTGCAGTGGAGATTGTGGGTACAACTGAAAAAAGTTGGCTCCTATATTTTTGTGTGTGTGTGTCGTTTTCAACCACCCCATCCATTGTATGGGCTGCTTTAGATGCATATTGTCCATGTCCCCTTTTACTGTAGGTTGTAATGTGTTATTTTTATTGGTTACTATGAATTCTGCTTCGCAGCTCTGCCCCTGATTCTCTATGCAGTTGGTGATGTTGTTGGAACAGGAAAATGTGGCCCCTAAGATTGTTTTTGTGTAGCTGTAAATTCCCTTCTATGCTCCACTTTGCATGTATGTGCCTCAGTTTGACCTTTCTGTGTTATAAGCTATTAGGGAACCAAAAGACTGGTCCAGCTCTGTCTACTGTGCCCAGCTCCAGTGGACACAAGCTGCCGCTGGTAATTTGTCTTCTGAATGGTCATTCCAGTCTTTTCATACAGGTTTTTCTTCATGCTTCTGGCTCCACTCTCATTGGTAGGTGCTGTCCTGTGAGGTTAGAGGCTTATTAAGAGGCTCAATGGCTCAGGATCCTCTGTGTGAAAGTCTTATTCTCCTGCTGCCTTCAGTTGTTTGGCCCCAGGATATAAGTCACCTGGAGTGCAGGAGTTTCCTGAAAACCCTTCAGAGCACACAAAATAGACTCTCTCCAGATTCTTGTGGATTGCTTGCTGTAACACACTGTTGTTCATTGTATCATTCACTAGAAGAGTCCACCTGTGAATTCTGTTTTATGCTTCCAAACTTTCACCTAGATGCAAAACCTGCAATGCTTGCATGTATTTATTATTTATTTATTTGGCTTTTACCCCTCCCATCTAGATTCAGACGAATCTACTCTGGGCGACTTACAGTCCGAGCAATATAAAACAAGAATTAAAACAGACAGTGTTCAAACAAAAAGAGAAATAGTTCTCTTTCAGATGCAACAGCCACATTCTGAAATAAAATACAAATACAACTAACACTCTGAAATAATGCTCCTGTATCATGTCAACTGTGTTGGTTTTGCAACCTGCATTTGAGATTTGTATAACCTATGCACAGAAGCTATAGGAGCTTTTATCCTCAGTTCTGCCAGGGTCAGTGAACAAACCTAATAAGATTTGCAGCTCTCCTCGAAACATCTACCTTGGTCTGGCACTGACTGCATGATCTATGGTAGGAGCTCTGACAGACCTCTGGGGAAAGTTCCTGGCACTGCCTATAACTAGATCCCTGGCATCATGCTAAAGAATTCCTCTACTGAGCCAATTCAGTATCAAAACAAGCTTCTTCTGTGAAACCAGCCTGTCACGTATTATAATGCTAATTAATCATTAACTGCCCACAGTGTTCTTCAGTGAGTTGCAGAATTGCGTTCTCCTTTCATGTTTAATTTTCTTAGCAAATTAGTGGTGTTCACATGAGTCTTTGATCAAGAAATGAAAGGATGATAAAGCAGTGAAAGTTAGAACTTGGCACTTCATTTCTCCTGCTAGCTTGCCTTTTAGAGCTTTGCATCTCTCCCCCCCCCAGCAGTTAATTGAGAGCAAGATTGCCCTAGTTTTGTGACAACAAAGTAAACAGGATCAGTGCTGCTCACTTACAAGTGCCTCTTGAGTGTGTGAAGCCGTTTATTTTTAGCACTTGTTGTATTGTGGGTGTGTGAGAGGAAGACCGTAGGTTATTGAATAATAATTTCTCGGCTGCTGCTGCTAAGTTTCACAGGATCTTGAAACAGGATCTTGAAATTCTTGGCTAAGCAGAGAAAACACATTCCTCTCTGTTATCCAAAAGCATCATTGATTTCCCTGTTTCATCTTTAGAAGCTGTGGCTCATTTGCCTAATTTGGAATGATTTACAGCAACAGCGAATTAGCCTGAGGGTGGCTTTGCGGTCCTGTTAAACTGATGAGGTTTTGAACATGGGCAAGGAGTAGTCTGTATCAGAGATGGGAGCATGTGACCTTCCAGATGTTGCTGAACTATTGTCTCCCACAGTCCCTTACCAGGCTGTGCTGCTTGAGCAGATGGGATTTGTAGTCCACAAACAATGGAGGGCCATGTGTTCAGCACCATTGCTGCTTTGTATTTTTGTTAACCCTAACAAGGGGATAGTATTTACCTTTTCTTTCTAGAGCAGTGGTCCCAGATGTTCTTAGATTAAAACACCCGGGAGCCTTCACCATCAGCTGTGCTGCCTGAGGTTTCTGGGATCTGCAATCCAATAACACCTGGATTACCCAAGGTTGGGAACCACTGCACTAATGTATATGGTTGAACTGAGATGCCAGTGTTGGTGAGGGACAGGAAAATTTGCTAGCTTTCAGGCATTTTTCTGTGATATTTTTATAGCTTTTGAATTGTGTGTAGCAGCTGTCTTCCTACAAACACTTTCTCATGTGAAAATGAACTGAGAAAGCTACAAAATGAAAACTGTACCAGTTCACACGTTGTCATATTATGCCTTTCAGGGATGTTACCTTTGAGGACATACAGTTTTGACTATCAGGTGCATAGTGTGGCGTTTGCCCTTGTGGCCCCTGCTTGTCTTTCTCTTACAAAGGCTCATGGCGCGTTTTCTTCTTGCTGCCACCAGTGGATTACCTCAATCCACAATATAAATGACGTCTGTCAGAACACTTGTCTTGTGAACAGAAACAGAATTTATTTATTGTAGTGAAGCAGACTGAATAATAACAAGTTCCTCAGATAAACATTATACATAAGCAAATCTTCAACAGTTCTCTCAGTACATACTTCTTTTCTCTTGCTATATCATTACCACCTTCTCTACCTATTTTCCTAACCAGCTTTATCTCTCTCCGTCTCTGTTCCCCCTCTCTCTGACTAATCAGCCCTATCTGACTCCTCCTCCTCCCGCCAAGCCTCATGTAGCTGCTGACTCTGCCTCTCCAGCCCTCTCATGGGTTCGTGCAGATCAGCTCATAAATATGAATGGCATGAGTGACGTGGGCAGTCGCCACATTTAGTAATAATAATTATGTGCCATCTAGCCTGATTCATGACAACCCTTGTGCATAAAGTGGTTTATCGGTTCCTCCTTCTAGTGGCACTGTGAGATTCTGCCACTTGCCCAAGACCGCACAGGAACAGGGCACATAACATCAT